CGCCAAGCAGCACTGCGTGAAAGATGATTCTCATTGGTCCGCTCTCATTGTCACTCTCGAATGTCACGTTATAGCCGGACGTAATCCGTGTACACACCAAGCGGGTAATTTGAATTTGTTATATGCATTTTAATTGTTTGAATTTCATAGGGTGGGAACTGTCAGCTCCGGATAAATTTATTTGAGTAAGATAGAAATTTTATTAATATTGCCAATAAAATTATAACGTTACCGCATTTAAAAAGAAAAGTTCATATAAACTGTTGTACTTGTACGTGCCCTTACTTTTCTGCTGCGGGCACGCAAAATTTATTTTCGATAAATTTTGTTAATTTGTTAATCAAAACACCATATTTTCAGTATTTCATAAGGGTCTCAGGTTTTAGTAGTAAGAAGATTTACTTTTACATGCCCTGACTTTTCTGCTGCGGGCACGCAAAGTTTATATTCAACCAATTTGGAATATACCGTAGATATAATTCATGTATATTACCGGAATATTTGTTTTGAACATACTAGGTATATTCACCTGCACATATACACAATATGTACATACCTGGCATGTTCATCTGCACATATACCCAATATGTACATACCTAGGATATACTTTTTATGAACTTTGATGCATGTATATTCCACGAACATTCATGTTAGGAATGTTCAACCATGTATATTCCCAGGATATTCCCGCAATGTTCTCTATATTTTTTGAACATTCTGGGATATTCATAGAATATCAAATGCTATCTGGGTACTTTGACAACTCGCGCTTGACAACACTGTCGTGGCCACTATGGCCGCCTTAGCTGACTACTGTCAATGTGACATGGGGGGATATTGCAGGCGCCAGTTGGGCTACAGCGTTCCAGAATGCCCCAATTGGCAACAAATTGCGCCAAAAACCTCGCTAGGAGACAAACATTCGGGCGCCCCAGTCTCGAACGTTCTATACGCGCCTGCTAATTAATTACAGCTGATATGAATGTTCCGAATCGCATTCACTATGGACAAGGTACAATAAAAGGGTTGAGAGGCTCATTCGTATTCTGCCTGTCGCCCGTTAAAGATAAGGCCGCATGGGACGTATCCGAGACATGTTTTCCCAAAAGAAGGTTCTTTGGCTTGCTTTGGGCACGCTCATGCATTCTGAACAGAGATTGATGGCTTCATGAAAAGAAGCCCCCCCATGTGGGTGGTTTCAACCCGCACACATTCAATTCGAGTTGCATATACGGAATATAAATTGACAGCAAGACACACTTGGCTGAGAGCTCAAAGCTCAGAGCACGAAGCTCAAAAGGCAACACTGTCACTAATCGTATTCGGTCGGCATTGTTCGCTTGAGGAGCCGAACTGAATAGCTTAGAACAACTGTCAGATGCAGCTGAGCGGAAAGGACCACTTAGATTTCCATGCCTCCAGACTGTTTCCACACTCTTAGGCTGATTAAATTTGAATCCAGTTGCACTCAACCAACGCACCAGCAATATTATTAAGCTGGATTTGGGGTCTATTCGGGCGCTTGATGGATGATGTGCCAACTTCCCTTCTCTCTCTGTCTTAGTGCATTTTCCAGATACGCTAAAGGATATTAATCGTGCAAATAAC